GCCTCAAAGCTTGCACCTTTCACTGAGACACAGCAATTCCCATCAAGGAGATCTACGCTGCCCCCAACCATGGACGGTCACGTGGACATCGACGATATCCTAAAACACAGAGACATGCCTGTTCCCAAGCCAGCTGGCCGAGGAAGACCGCCTAAACCTATGAGAGAGTACAGGGTACGGTTCAGGCATCATACAAATCCTAAGGAAGATTCACAAGAGAGGAACTTATCAAAAAAGCTCCTTAGATCGTGGCCGAGTACGAGCGAAGACTGAAGGGGAAGGCACCAGCATGAAGCATCTCAACGGACTTTCGAAGCTAAGGGGGATGGAATGTGAGGATTGAGCCCTCGCAGAGCCCTTATCAGACATGCACATGGTCTGGGCTGTTGCCCTCACCAAGCCCTGTGCCCGCCCTAAGCGAAGCCGGGCCTGAATATTCACCAGAGGCCAAAATTTGACATTTTCCATATGTGGGTACCGAGGCAGTTGCAGCACGCCAGTTGGTTGAGAGGAAGCGTGAGCCTCCCTGTGCTGCGTCGTACAGTTGAGCCCATGTTGTGGAAGTTGCGCCTGGGCACACACACAAACACAATGCAAGGCAGATACATCACGAATTGGCTGCGGGCCTACGAAAAAGCAGCATTGTCGACGTACATACCCCAGGTCCTGTGCAAATGCAGCAAACGGCCCAAGTCTGAACATACTGGCCGCTGCCCAACTGTAAGGGGCCCAGGCCCTCAACTGCACAGCTGCGCCTGGGTGCAGGCACTGGGGCCTGACTGGAAGCTACTGGAAGCTTCCCGGCCAGGCTACACACAGCCAAACAGAGGCTGCCACTTCCATCTAGGGAAGAAGGCAGCCAGGGTCAGGCATTCTGGCCCACGCAGGCATTGCGGTCACGCTGCTGCGTTGCTGCACGAGAGGCTTCGCGCTGCGTTAGCGGCCAGGGCGCGTGTGAGACGAGAGGGGCGCTGCTGGGCAGCGGAGCGCAAACAGCCATAGCCGGGCTGCAGGGCGTTAGGGGGTAAGAGGGCGATCAATGGTCTTCAGGAAGGAGGCAAGTGTGGGTGGTCAGGGTCTGATGCGAGGAGACGAGATACATACCTGGTGCATGAGGGAGGTCAGCTATGGTGTTGACGTCATGTACATTGGTCTTCAAAGTCAAAGTCAGCCTATTGCATGAATCTGGATGTAGTAGGATAGGCGAGTAGTGTAGGCTGGGCACTGGGCGCCAGACAGAGAGGAGTGACATTGGATACTATGTTGGTGTGGCCTGAGGGCTTAAACATTGGCTCATGAGTTCATTGTATTGCTCTTATTTGGATGGAATCTCGATGCATTTGTGCTCTATGCTTGTACACGACTACTTGGACATCTGTGTGATTTCGCAACTTGGCTTTCTGTATATCGTTCTCACTCATATTCCTTGTAATTTCCTCCCTTTTTTTTTTCTTTTTTTTTTAATATCTTTCGATCTGGTATGAGTGAGGTATTTTCGGAGGAGTGAACGAGTGAGATCTAGGCAAGGCTTGCAGAATTTCAAATTTCCAAAATCATATGATTTTGGAAAAAAAAAAAAAAAAAACCGAGAATTTGTGCAAAATAGAATGGTTGTTCGAATTTCAGAAAAGAATAAATCGAGGTTCCAAGAAAATGACGAACTCCCTTCTACTAACCTAATTAACCTAAAATGCCCTGATCCGTAAGTTGCCTATCGAAATGATAACATCGTAGTTTTCCGCAATTTTGCGGAATTGCGAAATTATCGGAATTCCGGATTTCGTGGATCGTGAAATTTGCGGGATTCCGTATTTCGCGGAATCGCAAAATTTGCGGAATTCCGGATTTCACGAAACCGCGAAATTTGCAGAATTCCGGATTTTGAGGAATCGCAGAATTTCGGATTTTGCAGAATTGCAAAAGTTCCGAGCGTTCGAATTGGTAACTTCAGAAGAAGAAAAATTTGCAGGAAGTTGACTAATTCCTACTTGGTTAACCAATTAATCAATCAATCAATCAAGCTGGCTCCTTGATTGGGCAGATCCTCTGATTGAGAGGTCTGCTCCGATACCAAACTGTCGCATATCGATATGGTGCGGACCAGAACCAAGAACCGACCATAGAACAGGATAGCACAGCGGAAGACTGAAATACCAATGATCAGACCACTCAATGTGGCAATGCAGACCGAACATACATCATCATCATCACAAGGTGTGAAGGGGCCTGGCGCCACACAAGGCTCTGATCATACACAGATGAGGAGGAGGGGGATCAGACGAAGAGGAAGGAGGAGATGAGAATGCCATCAACACAATGTCGTCGACATTGATCCCAATAGTCCCTAACCGAATGTCTCTGTCCCAATGTCGAGTCTGAATCCAAATAAGTCACAAATCTCTCTCTCTCTCTCTCTCTCTCTCTCTCTCTCTCTCTCTCTCTCTTAGTCTGTCGATACTGAGAAGTCAGGAAGCTAGAGGGTAAGGGAGAGATTGTGGACTGGAGGAGGAAGAAGAAGAAGAGCTCTCTCCCTCTCTTCCTCTCTGTGCCAGGTACTAACCTGTGAAAGGTGGCACCTTGCTGAAGGTACACTGAAGACGGAGCTGGAGCGATGGCATCACTGGTAAGCTGCCAGATAAGTCCCCTGGCCTCCGCCGCTCTCCTCCCTCCTATAAGAGCGCCCAGCGCTGGAAGACTACTACTCTCGTCACCTACTACTGCTGCAGCATCTCCAGAGAGTGCCGCTGCTGAAAGCCCGAAGACTGAATGCCAGCCTCCTAGGCGGACCAGCTATACATAGTGCTGGTCCGACTGGGAGGCTGTCCTCACCAATGCTGAATGGCACCAGGGCCTGGGGCCCAAACGGTCTGGCACCTAAAGTTGGCGCCAATTCGAAATGGCTGAATTTGAAAAGGGCCTACCGCGGCCTGGGCGCCTACTGGGCCTCCACCAAAAAGGCCTACCTACTGGGCCTACCGAGGCCAAACGACATGGGGCCTGAAAAGGGCCCAAAAGTAGCAAATCTCTCTCTCTCTCTCTCTCTCTCTCTCTCTCTCTCTCTCTCTCTCTCTCTCTCTCTCTCTCTCTCTCTCTCTCTCTCTCGATACTGAGAAGTCAGGAAGCTAGAGGGTAAGGGAGAGATGGTGGACTGGAGGAATAATAAGAAGAAGAGCTCTCTCCCTCTCTTTCTCTCTGTGCCAGGTACTAACCTGTGAAAGGTGGCACCTTGCTGCAGGTACACCGAAGACAAAGCTGGAGCGATGGCATCACTGGTAAGCTCCCAGGTAAGTCCCCTGGCCTCCGCCACTCTCCTCCCTCCTAGCAGCACCCAGCGCTGGAAGACTACTCCTATCGTCACCTACTACTGCTGCAGCATCTCCGGAGAGTGCCGCTGCTGAAAGCCCGAAGACTGATTGCCAACCTCCTAGGCGGACCAGCTATATATAGTGCTGGTCCGACTGGGCGGCTGTCCTCACCAATGCCGAACGGCGCCAGGGCCTGGCGCCCAAACGGCCTGGCAGCTAAAGTTGGCACCAATTCGAAATGGCCAAATTTGAAAAGGGCCTACTGTGGCCTGGGCGCCTACTGGGCCTCTACCAAAAAGGCCTACCTACTGGGCCTACCAAGGCCAAACGACATGGGGCCTGAAAAGGGCCCCTTCCTATTCTGAACCGNCGCCTACTGGGCCTCTACCAAAAAGGCCTACCTACTGGGCCTACCAAGGCCAAACGACATGGGGCCTGAAAAGGGCCCCTTCCTATTCTGAACCGACACAGGGCCCGAAAGGCCCTTACCGAACCACTATCCTACCTGGTCAGGCCCTGCAGGGGGCCGTCTGGTACTCAGTATGCCACAGAGGAGGAGCGGGAGGAGGAGGAGGAGCGGAGGAGCAGGAGGTGCAGGAGGAGGAGTGGGAGGAGGGGGAGGAGGAAGGGAAGGAGGAGCAGGAGGAGCAGGAGGAGGAGCGGGAGGAGGAGGAGGATCGGGAGGAGGAGCGGGAGGAGGAACAGGAGGAGGAGAAGGAACGGCGGCAAACGGGGAGGGGGAGTTAACGAACGTGCGCGAGGTGGGTAGGAAAAGCGGGAGGAGGGAAGGGAGGAGGGGTCTCTCTCTCTCTCTCTCTCTCACACACACACACACACACACACACACTGTCAATCAATCAATCAATCAATCAATCAATCAATTTGATCGATTAATTGACTGATTAATTGGTTTGTTTTTGTTTTCTGTCTGGAAAATCCGGTGGGTGGAAGGTTGACGGGATGCTTGGGAGTGGGTTGATTGGTTGATTGGCTGATTAATTCGTTGATCGATTGAAAACACAAAAACGATCGGCCTGTCGGCGGGTGGGGAGTCGGGGCAATGCGGGCGGGAGGAAGTCGAGGGGGAAGAGAGGGGCAGGGAGGACAGAGGGTGGAAAGCCGGCGAGTTGCGTTCCCACTCTTTCTCCCGCCTCCCGCTTCCTCTCCCCCTCCTCCACCACCTTCTCTTTGCCCTCTTCCCCTCCCCCCCCCACTTGTATGAATGAAATAACTCAAAATTACCTGGGGCAGGTCAGTTCAACAATGATACCTCACAGCCGTTGTCTTTCCTTCCCCTCCCCTTCTCCCCCCCCAACCCCTCTTCCCCCAAAAAGGTACCCAGTACTGCTCACATTCAGATTCTTTTTCCAGAAGCAATTAACACCAGTCTTGCTCGGCACAATGGCCAGGGATCTTTCAAGGGGATCTCTTGAGTGGGTTCTCCGCCTCACCACATAAGACGAACACATGTCGGGAGTCAAGACACAACAGAATGCTCCCACCGGTGGCCGTGTGACTGCAAAAAATGTGCCTAAGACAAAACACGGACACGAATGAATCGGGGATTACATTTCAATTTTGAATTGTTACACATTTTTTACAGTGACTTCACCTGATTTCAGATTACTACACCCATGAATGAGGGAAACCTAAGAAAGTATTAGAAACCTGAAAGAGAGAAACGAATATACTGACCTGAAGCATCATGTTAAACACATCTGGATGGGCCTTTTCGATTTCGTCAAAGAGTACCACGGTATACGGCCTCCGGCGAACTGCTTCCGTCAGCTGCCCACCCTCAGTGTAGCCTACATATCCTGGAGGTGAACCGATGAGCTTCGAGACTGTATGTCTTTCCATGAATTCGCTCATGTCCAGTCTGACCATTGCCTGGACGCGATCAGCAAAACCATGTATGCAATGAATAACCCATGCAGGTTAAGAACAAACCATCGTCATAAACAGCCAACAACCAAAATGCCAAAATGTTATTTGGAGAAATTTGGACACTTTTTTGGACGGCGAAGGCCACGGCAGCTCTTTTTTCGCATAATGGAAGAATTGACTTGAAAAGTCAACAGTGTTTTCAACTGTTTTGGCTTTAGTTCCATGTGTTGACATAAGACTGCTTGCACGGTTTGTTTGCAATTTGGTGCTCAGCGTGTAATCATATCATTTATACATGATTCTCCAATCATGTGCGTACTTGAACGCAAACTAATACTACGTAATTCATGTCCTTTCAAGAACTCTGACAGCAGAGCCTCTTGAGAACTCACGAGTTGTTCTCCAATAATTTCACCCGGAAACAATCCAAACTTTTGGACCGTAATATAATCATGACACTTGTTTCAAGTTGTTTGCAAATTACTCAAAAAAAGTTCACAGAACATGCATTGCCGCCTCCACGTCATTCCATTGAATTCCACGTCAATTATTTCAAAAAAAGAAAAAAACTCATACTGGCACAATTTTGGTGATGGCAACAAGGATACAGCAGCTCCAGAATCTTTCGTGAAATTTCTCAGAGGCCAAAATCACAGACTGTGCGGCCTCCTTACTAACATTTCTTTCTTCGGCATTTCTCGTCAAACTGATACGAGAAACCCTGTCCTCAGATTCAGAATTCATTTAAAGAAAAGAGGGAAAATATAAAATTGAAAAAAACAAAACAACCCGCTTCAATTGGAAAGAGACAAAAATAGCAAGGGGATTATGTGCCCCGCCTAACCTCTGCACCGCATACTTATATGATTTGCACTGGCACCATGGGGGATTACCCCTTTATCCGTTCGAAGGAGATAGTATCGACCACATCACGTCTAATTATCTAATGATAGTAATGATCAGTTTATCCATTTGAAGGAGAGTTACCGCATCATGTGCAATGATTAGTTTTATGAACTTTTGCGAAGCTTTATCCTTGCGAAGGGGAATTACTGCATCATGTATAATAATTATTATTCACCTTGTCCGTTCAAAGGAGAGTGGCTTCATGGGTGATAAATACCACTTTCATCCTTTTTCCATATCGGCAAGTCTATGTTATCCATTGATTCTATTCCCAGTAAACATGCACACACCGGTCAACCTCTAAATTGGAAAAGGTGCGCGCACACACACTCACACACACGTACCTCCTCAGAGCCAAAGTAGTACGACGCAAGTGCCTTGGCAAGCTCTGATTTTCCTACACCTGTAGGCCCGGAGAAGATGAAACTCGCGATTGGCCGATTAGGATTTTTCAACCCTACTCTGGCACGCCTAATAGCTCGGCTTATCGCCTTCACTGCTTCGTCCTGCCCAATGACACGCTGGTGAAGTGTTGCCTCCATCTTGAGCAACCGGTCAGATTCATCCGTGGAAACCTGGTTGACAACAAGAAATCCATTGCACATCACTCACCACACATCAAGCAACCAGATCAGTAAAGCTTGTGTTCCCTCACATTCGGAACCCGTTCCAGGTTAAACAAATGTTCTCAAATAAACCTGTTACATGGTTATAATATATTCCCAGCCTCCCAGGTATGAAACGGTTTTCACCTCTCAGTAACAGATGCAGATCCCAGGGCTCGATCCCTAGACCTCACCCTAACCATGTACAGTATCTGTGTAGACCCTGAGAGTTGAACCTGTGACCTGTGTATTCGTAGACAGTTGGTAGGTCTGTCATAGGTCTGTAGGTAGCAGGGGTTCGATCTGTAGACCTATAGAGTCGAAGTCTTAGCAAGTTCCAGAGGTCTAGCTGTAGTCCTTCTAGAAGGTCGGCAAGTGGGCAAGTGGCGGGGCAAGTGGTGGACTAAACTGCAGTGCAATTGCAGTACGACTGCGGTAGGTTAGCGGTGAGTCCACAGTCAGTCAGCGGTAAGGTCCAGTCAGTCCCAGTCCCGTCCAGCAAGTACCACGGGGGACTGTGAGCACCATGGGCCGATGGCAAAGGGCAGACCAACGAGTTCCGAAGTATAAATCAAGAGGCAGCGCCCAGCCTTTCATTCATTCCTGCGTGAACCATGCGGAAGCGCTGCCACAGCGACTTGTGCAAGGAGGTCTGCAGTGAGCCCGGAGGATGCAGTGGGCGAGAGAGAAGGAGCTTAGCATAGCGATACGGTAGAGGCAGCCATAGCTGCCATAGCTGTAGTTAGCGAGTAGTGTGTGTGTGTTGTGTGAGTGTTCAGAGTGACGCGTGTGGGATATCCAGGGTGATCCGGTGTGTGTGAACAGTGGGTTGTTTGGGCGCTGAGTCGCCATAGCCAATTGGAAGTGAACTCGTATCTGGATGTCATATCTCTGAGTTTTGAGTGGGCGCATGTCGCCAGTTTGCTGCGCTGCTGTTTACATACATGAAAAGTGTGAATGAGAACGAGTCTGATTGCATTGGTATCGGAGCTGGTACCCGCTATTCCATGCGCGCCGTCGTGTGCAGGGCCTGAAGCGCCATAGCAGAGGTGGCCGCCGAGGGGCACAGTCCGCCATAAGCGGACCTGAGGTTGGAGAAGCCGCCGCGCACCTGCAAGAAGACAGAGAGAGAGAGAGAGAGAGAGAGAGAGAGAGAGAGAGAGAGAGAGAGAGAGAGAGA